CACCGAAATGGTATCTGTAAATTTTGCAATTCCTTAACAAGAAAGCCAAATTCTTTTCTAGTTTTCAGCATTTTAGGAGGTAATTCTTTATAAATTCCAATTCGTGAGCCCCCCACTTGCACAGAAGTGTAAAAGGATTTTTGCAGGATGTCATTTCTTATTTCTCTATCTGTAAAATATATGACCACATCTCTGGGCAATTGTCTTTGTCTGGCCACCCAAGAATTCACTCTGTAAATTTTATCTATTTTGTGAAAAACCACATCAGGATTAACTTGTAGAATCTTGGCCAGGGCCTCAGAACAAACTTGTCTCAAATCCTGTCTTTCCTCTTCTCGAATTCCTCGAAGCCGTATGGCAAACTCCATTGCCCTGAATTGTACCATCACAATCTCATTTTCAACTCTTTGCATTTTATTGTCAACATCAGCAATTTTATAATCATTGTCTTTCATCTTAACATTAACTTCTGATTTAAGTTCTTCAACTTTAGAATCAACTTTCACAATAAATTCTGCCAGGCCAGACGCCACTTCTGATATTTTTTTGGTCACCTTGTTTTGATTCTGTTTCACCATATCTTTAACTTCATTAATTTCCTGCATAAATTCCTGATGTGATTTTTGAAGTTTATCATCTATCTCCTGTTGAGATTTTTGAAATTTATCATCCAAAGTTTTAGAAATAAATTCTTTTAAATCTCCCACATCAAAATCTTTTTTCTGAGTCTGTATCTGTTGTACTGGGGGAGGCTGTGCTTTATGTGTGGGAGATCCACCTCCTGTTGCCTTCGCTTCCTGCTTCTTTGAGGCCATCCTGCCACGTAGGCTGGTTTTACTAAAAAGGGAAGTTCTTCTTCCTCTCCCACCTCCACAAAAACTTCTGAAAAAGTCCCCCAGGTTTAATCAAATAAGAACCAAAGTAAAGCAAAGTCCAGTATTGAAAAAGGAGAAATTTCTCTGTTATTCTCTTGTTACAAGCGAAGCAACTTTGTAGCAACTTATTAACTTTGTAACAAAGCAAGATAACTTCACCAATCCACACTTGCTGGCTCGTTAACTCTAATGCTGAGCGCCATATTTTTTCAAGTCACTTTCACTCATTCGCATTTTTTCTTAAATTGAAAAGTCAACAAAGCGCTAATACTTGCGATTCCAAGTTTCAGGGTTCAAGTGTATATCCGCTGCTTGTTAAAGTTGGTTCCTTTCACTTTAAATGTTTACTGCAGCCGGCTTGTTCTGCAGAAGCAGAATCGTCCCACGCCGCCCGGAGTCTCAGCAGGTTGGGAGGGAGCCGCGCCTGTTTCCTCCCCAGAAACAATTCCCTGGGGGGTTACAGGGGCTCGACCTGTGCCCTGCTATCTCTCCTCCAACAATCCTCAGGATTTTGAAGTTTTCGAGCCGCTTCTTGATCGCGAAGCGGCTCTACAGGCAGCGGGGCTGGCGGAGCTTCAAAAGGCACCGCCGCCGCCGAAGGCTAGCAAACCGGAAGTCCCATCATTAAGTGTCTTTGATAAACATTCATACCACCGTTTGCCAGACTGTTTTAGTCCATAAAGACTCTTATTCAATAGCCAAATTTCTCCCTTTTTTGTATCCTTTCCTGGGGGCGCTTTTACATAGATTTCTTTATCAAGATCAGCATGTAGATAAGCTGTCTGCACATCAAATTGATATACTTCTAGGTTTAAGATGGACGCTAATACTAATGCTGTTTTCACACTTTCTGATCTAATGGTTGGAGAGTATGTGTTCTCATAATCATTTGGAAATCTTTGGGCAAAGCCTTGGGCCACTAATCTGGCTTTATATAGGAATTTACCATCCTCTAGCTCTTTGATTTTATAGATCCATTTAGTGCCTATGGGGGATTTCTCTGAGGGTAAATCTGTTGGTGAGTATACATTTAATTCTTCCAAATTGTCCATCTCCTTTTTCATCGCTTCCTCCCACTTACTTTTTTCTTCTATAGGTAACTTGAGTATATCATCATATGTGTTGGGAGTCAGGTGTTTAGCTTGGATAGACAGTACATAATCATCTAATCTTTTAGGGATGGTGCCTCTATTGGATCTAATGGGTCTATTCTGGGGATGTTCATCGCTATGCATATATTTAGTTTCTTTTTCAGTTAATTGGTCTACCTTCAAAGTGGGATGTCCTTTCTTCCATTCATCATTAATTATTTTTGGACATTTGATTTTGTTCGTGGTTGTACTTTTGGGGTTGGTATCTGATGTATGATGTTCTGTGTGTGTGTGTGTAATGTTTTTTGATTCTGGATATATTTCGTTGAGATGTATTTTTGACCAGTTCATGTGTTCATGAAACACGGCAGATCTGGATACAATGAAATGGTTATTTTTATCAATGAAGCGATATCCCTTGGTTCCTGATTCGTATCCCATAAATATTAACCTTTTGGATACTTTCTCTCCTTTGCGCCTTAATTGTGTGGGGACATATACATCAGCAGTTACACCAAATACGTGTAAATGTCCAATTTTTGGTTTTCTTCCATACATGAGTTCGTATGGAGTTTTGTTGATTGTACTTGACCATAAGCGGTTTATAGTGTAATTGGAATAAGTAAGGGCCTCAGCCCAGAATGATTGGCTCAAGCCAGCATCGTCTAACACACATTTAACCATGGTTTGTAGCAAACCATTCTTTCTTTCAGATACTCCATTTTGAAAAGGGGAAAATGGACAAGATTTAAAGTGCAATATCCCTTGTGATTTTAGCCAATTTGAAAATTCGTTGGATAGGAATTCCGACCCCCTGTCGGTCATTATTTGTTTAATTTTAATATTGTGTTGTGTTTCTACCATTTTAAAGAACTCCTTAAATTTTTTGAAGACTTCACTTTTGTGGTTAAGGGTGTATACAAAACCGAATCTACTGTAGTCATCGACTATGGTTAGAAAGTATCTTTTTTTATATTTAATTGAAGGTTTCAATGGGCCTACTACATCCATATGGATTAATTGGAAAATTGAGTGTGTGGTGCGAGTGGCTTTTTTGGGTCTAGGTTTGTTTTTAAGTTTGGATGAATTACACACGGAGCATTCCAAATAATTTTTACAGTTCTTTATTTTTAAATCTTCGGAGCATTCTAACATCTTTCGTATGACAGGAAAACTTGCGTGTCCTAGCTTTCTGTGGAGTAAGTGACTACAGTTATCGTGTATAGGTTTTCCATTGCTTAAATTTTCAGACATATTACTATCAGTGGTTGATGCATTATCATTATTACTCTCATTATGACTATCTGATTTTGCCTCTTTGTTTTTTAATTGATAGTTTGCGTATAATTCGTTATTTTGTGGCAGTAGATATGTTAGTCCGTCATTTGTGAATAGTTTACCTATGTTTCTGTTGTCTTTAGTCATAAATACCTTTCCACCTTTGAAAGTGGTCTCTACTTCATTCTCTATACTTAATTTTAGAGTTGCCAATATATTACTTGGAATTTCAGGTACAAATAGCACCCCCTCTATTTTTCCTATACCCTTTATATGTGTGTCTCCCATTCCTCTCACTAGGACTTCATTTTGGTTCGCTACTTTAATGTAATATTTCTTTTCAGTGAAATTGCTTAATATTTTTCTATTGTGAGTTGTATGACATGTGGCTCCAGAATCGATGAGCCAAGTGTTGAGTGAATCAGATGTTAAAGTGTCACTGTTTCTTATTCCATATAGTGATCCTTTCTTATTTTCCCTAGGGTTATTTCTGTACATTTGTCTTTCTCTAGAATGTGTCGATTCCCTGCGTTTATACCTGTAGTCAGAGGAAGTTCTGTCTAAGAAATGTATTCTCCTATCTTTGTGTTGATATATGTCACTATATCCTGTGTTCTTGGGGCAGTCTCTTTTTTGATGTCTTTCAGATCCACATATTGAACATTCATGTGGGTATCTATCTCTGACCCTAAAATCAGTTCTTCTTTGATTTCTACCTTCCCTTTGTTGTGTATATCGCTCCTTTCTAAGTCTATCTTCAGTAATAAGCTTATTGGTAAGGTTTTCTAAGGTAATTTGTTCTATACTTAAGTTGTCGATTAAGGTAATATAGTTATCCCAGCTGTGGTCTAATGAATTGATTATGATGTTTTTCATAGTGTTATCAGAAATAGTTTCCCCCCTTTGGATAAGATCTGCTCTGACTGCGTTTAGATTCAAGATATGTTCACTCATGGAGGTATCATGTTTTAGTTTGGCAGAATAGAATTCCCTAGAAATTTTTGTGGTGGTGGCTACACTTTTGCTATAGAACAAATTGAATAATTTTTGGTATGTTTCAGATACAGTTAGATTATGTTCAATACTGGGAAGTATACTTGGGGAAATAGAGGCAATTAATATATAATATGCTTTATGATGGAGGCAGTCTATTTCATAAGTCCAAGGTTTGTCTGGTGGGTTATCAATAAAAAATAAAACATTCTCTTTCAAATATGTAATTTGTAAAAATTGATTCCATTCCATTAAGTTGCTCCCATCTAATTTTAATTTTATAAAGTCACTTTATAAAGACACTATCTTTATATAGATAGTGTCCCTGAGTGTTGTGAAGTGTTATTTATGTTTAGGTGCTGTCCATGGTTTAAGACCTTAGCATACTCGCAATAAGGCCTGGGTATGGTAGATGCATGTCTGTATTTACTTATCTCTATGTTCTGACTGGATCTGCGCTGACTTGTATCTATATCTTCTTCTTTTTTCTTTGCAGGTTCGTTCTGGGCATGCTCAGTCCTCATTCTTCTCCAGCAGTCGGCGAGTGAGGATCCTGTGTCTGCAGCTCCCGGGGTGAAGTCCCAGTCGGCCTTCTGTTCTTCGGCTTTGTTTCCGGAGGGCCTCTGGTGACTGAAGGATGCCTGGGATGCTGCTCTGCTCGTCGGGGAGTCTCCGAAATCGCGATGACCGAGGAGGAAGCCACCGGAGGCTTGTCGGCCATTTTCTTCGAGGCAGTCAGGAAGTGGAGTTGGAGGCGGGCCGCCATCTTTGATGAAGCCGGGTTGCTCAGCAAGTCATTCTTCGGTAGGTAAGTATGATTGCCAGCGCGTCTTTTTTCGGGTGGCTAGGTCTTTCTTTAGACAGTTTATTTCTTTTTGGCTTTTGGTAGGTGATAGTTTAGAATTTTCTTTTTCATTTTCTGGTTGTTCGTTTGGTATTTTTAGTTTAGTCACGAGTGCTGCAGTCAGCACCTGTATAGCGTTATTTATTTCTAGTTCAGTAGGTTGAGTTTTGTTTTCTACTTTATAGTTTGAGGTTTGGAATTCTTTTAGTAATTGGTCGGCCATTTTGGGAGTATTAGGAGGGTAAGATGGCTGCCATGAAAAAGGCGGGAAGCTGTCGCCATCTTCTGTGTCGTTTTTGAAGTTAGGGGTTGAGCTTCTTACCTTGTATTTTTCTTGTTTATTATTTTCGTTATCTGCTGCTGTTCCGTGGTCGTTTATCATGCTGCGGATTTTCACAAGCAGATTTGATTCAACTGTAGTTGTTTCTATTAATTGTAGTATTTTTCTTTTTACTTCATCTTCTTTGTTTGGTGTTGAGAAAGGTTCTTCTGCTCCAGCTAGTGGTTGTTCGTTTTGTGTTAGCAGTTCATTTTCTTGTAATTGCGTTTGTTTCTTCATGTTTTCAAGTGGTGTATATATGTCAGGAGTCAGCTGAGCTGCCATTCTTTTTGTTATGTATCTGGTGGCAGGTCTTCTTTTTTCTTTTTGTGAGTCTTGCATCTTTATGTTTGGTTGGGCCTACCAAACCATTCTCTTGCTACCAATTTGTTACTAGTTTGGTTTTTCTGGTTAGGCCCAATATAAGAGACTGTAGACTTTCTTGTATCAATAATATTTATTTCTCATCTTCCTCAGGAATACTTTTTAGACAGCTCACAGTCTGAGAGGAGTGAAGGCTTATATACAGAGGAGGCGGGGTGAATGGTAAGTAATAACCAATGACAAGGGACACAATGACATCACACAATGACATATATACAAGCACATATATTTACAGAGAGCAGGTTAGGTATTTTCAATTGTAACAAGTAAGGTTGGGAAACACTGTTCTAAATTCTGTGAGTTATGTTCAGGGTATAAAAGGTGAAGGGGCAGTCCCAGGGTTTCACGATTACACTATTTTCCTGTTCACGTTACAAAGCTGCTAAAGTGAGTATTACTAGTGGTCCACCACTCTTGGCTCAAATCCAATAAGCCATGAGCAGAGTGGCACCTGGGCTGACAAAACCCTTTCATGGTGGGTACCCTGTGTCTCTATCATCCTGATACAGTCAGCAAGTACTCTCTCCTTTCCTTACTGTTAGTCAAGAGACTTATGCTCCAAACAAGTGGCAAAATATTACCCTAATTGTGGTGTAATCCATGTGCCAGAGAAGAGAAACGGGCCATATCAGGGGGATGAAACCAAACAAAGATGTGGCTGGGATATGTCAGTGTCCTAGTTGGTGCAGGTAGGCTCAGAGAAAAAGCAGGAGAATATAATAAGTAATGGCACACGTTCAAATTCTTGTTGAGACACAAAACCTAAGGTCATCTTTGGCATTAACCTTGTTGCCATTTCATTTACCACATAGAATTGTTTGGAATATCAGTGATAATATACAGTGGTATTGTTTCCATATATTTTATCCTGCATCGTTTACAGGAAGAATACAATGTATTATTTTTGTAAGGCAAATAAAAATGGCCTTCCTGGAAAACAGTTTTTGATTAAGAGCTCAGTGTGCTATCTGTTTTAATTTCACACCTCACAATAGGCCGTGGTTAAATTAATGGTGATTTATTGAATAATTCAGATAGCTAGGTTCTAATATTTGTAACTTGGGAAATACTGTATACCAACACAAAGCAAAACAAACCACAGCAATTTAAGGACAGGATCACATTTTATTATAATCGCCCACAGCGGATTTATGTTGATAGGAGATTTGTATATAAATTGCTCATAACATCAGCTCTGTAGATCTTTTGAGTACAGATAGTCCTCAATTTATGACCACAATTGAGTCTAAAATTTCTGTTGCTGAGCAAAACAGTTGGTAAATGAATTTTGCCCCATTTGACCTTTCTTGCCATAGTTATTAAATGAATCATTGTAGTTGTTAAGTTAGTAACATGGTTGTCAAGTAAATCTGGCTTCCCCATTGACTTTGCTTGTCAGAATATTGCAAAAGATGATTACATGATACCGGGACAGTGGTGGGATTCAAAATTTTTTACTACCGGTTCTGTGGGCGTGGCTTGGTGGTCATGTGACTGGGTGGTCATGGCCAGGTTGTCATGTGACTGGATGGGTGTGGCCAATTTAGGCATCCATTTTGCCAATTTAGCAGTCCATTAAACAATACACAGCAGCTCCTTTTCTATTCTTTTTTTTAATACTGCATGAAGTTTTTGCTCTAGGTTTTTTTTTTTACTAGAGGGGAGATGTTGGCAATGCCTGGGGATTTCTGGAAATTTCTCCTCTGTGTTAGAGGCACCAAAATAACCAAGATGATATAAGGTCTCCTGCTGGAGCAGGGGGTTGGACTAGATGACCTCTGAGACCCCTCTAGCCCTGGATTGCTGTGCTGTTTCAAAGCATCCTCTGAAGCTATGTCTAGTGCCAGGTTTGTGGTCCTTCCTTCCTCTCCTTTTTCTCTCCCTCCCTCCCTCTATCCATCCGTCCATCCATCCATATCTCATTCACTTTCCCTTCCCTTTTCCTTCCTTCCTTCCTTCCTTCCTTCCTTCCTTCCTTCCTTCCTTCCTTCCTTCTCTTTCTCTTTCTTTCTTTCTTTCTTTCTTTCTTTCTTTCTTTCTTTCTTTCTTTCTTTCTTTCTTTCTCTCTCTCTCTCTCTCTCTCTCTCTCTCTCTCTCTCTCTCTCTCTCTCTTTCTTTCTTTCTTTCTTTCTTTCTTTCTTTCTTTCTTTCTTTCTCCCTTTCTCCCTTCTCCCTTCCTGTGAAGAACCCCAGAAGGTATTTGGTAGGAGGAAGAAAAGTCAGACATTTTGAGAACATGCCCATTGATCATCTGACATGCTTAGAGCTCCACTATTGATTAGCTTAGCCTGAGCAACAATAGCTAGCAGCACTTTCAATAAATTCTCAACTCAAGCTCAGTGCACTTGGGGATCCCCAAACAGTGAGGATGAAATGAGAGTAAAAATATTTACCCTTCTCTCCCTCCCTCCCTCCCTCCCTAACCCTAACCCTAACCCTCCCTTTCTTTTTGCTGTGTATTTTTATTTTTATTCAAGATTTCTTTTGTACAGGTAGTCCTTGATTTACAACAGTTCGTTTAGTGACCGTTTGAAGTTACAACAGTGTGACTTAACCGTTTTTCACACTTAAGAAAAAGTGATGCAACATCTCCATGGTCATGTGATCAAAACTCAGATGTTTGGCAACTGACTCATATTTAGGACGGTTGAAGTGTCCTGGGGTCATGTGATCATCTTTTGTGACCTGACAAGCAAAGTCAATGGGGAAGCCAGAGTCACTTTACACCCTTGTCACTAGCTTAACAACTACAGAGATTCACTTAACAAATGTGGCAAGAAAGGTCATATAATGGGGCAAAACTCAGTTAACAACTGTCTCATTTAGCAACAAAAATGTTGTACTCAATTGTGGTTGTAAGTTGAGGTCTGTGGTTGACTGTGATTGATTGACTGTGGTCAATCAATAAATGTAAAATCAATCACAAATACTTGAGGACTGGAGTCTAATAGATTACATTTACATTACAATACTTCAACGAAGTATTGAAGTTGTTTTATTTTACAGGAAGCCTGTATGTGATATGTAGAAGGGAGCCTGTAATCTAATTGCTGAATTGCACAAAACCACTTTTGTAACACCTCACTGCAGCATCATTTTGCATACTTGCATACAAACAAGGGCCCAAGCAGTTTCTCACAATGAGCTACAAACAGCAGAACAATAGAAGATATTGTATAATGTATACAACATATAACCTACATATAATCTATGCAATATATCATCTACAAGTAGAATATATGTAGCTAAGGGTTGAATTATAGAGTCCTTGGTGCTCTCTGTGCTTGGTCCATGTGTTGTGAAATTAAGGAATTTTCATTATGTCTTCTGTCTGCTAATTGGTATTCATAGATGCATTCTGCTAGTCTTTTGCCTGTCTGTCCTACATAGTGGCTGTTACAATTCTTATGTGGTATGTTGTTGATAACTCCTATTTTTTTCTCCTTGGGCGTCTGGATTTTTTGGTTTACTTAACAAAATCAAAATAAATCAAGTAAACCAAAAAACTTGGTAACTGAAGAAGAAAAATATCTATGATATACAACATAACCAGGGGTGGGTTCTAAATTTTTTTACTACCGATTCTGTGGGCGTGGCTTGATGGTCATGTGACAATTATTTAGGATTTAGCAGAGGTACTGGTCTATCAGGCTTTTAACTGCTTGCAGAGCTGTACCGATCTACCCATTTATTTTTGTAGGCACTGATCTACTCATGTATTTTTGCAGGCACTGGTCTACCCATTTATTTTTGCAGGCACCGGACTACTCATTTGTTTTCTTTTAACACTGATCAGCTGTAGGGCGGCCCTTTGAAGCCCCGCGGCAAGAGTTTAAACAGTTTTTTTCCCTCTAGCCATCAGCTGGGACTCAGGAAGCAGCAATAGATTGGGGATGGGGCCAAATAAAAGATAAGAATAACACGGGGTGGGGGGGGGCAGAACCGGTTCGGTGATGTCATATTGTCACTGCTACCGGGTCAGTGGATCCGGGCAGAACCGGGCGGAACCCACCACTGAACATAACGACTGTAATCAGCTACTATGTAGGACAGGCAGAAGGCCAGCACGGAGTATTCATTGACACCAACTAGCATGCTGAAGACATAATGAAAACTCCTTAATCTCACAGCACATGAACAAACTCAATTGTAGGTTTTTTTTTATTTAAAAACAAACTTTCTTCAATATAAAAAGATAAAAGTTATACAAAAAGTTCTTAACTCTAAAAATACATTCAAAACTACTTACAAACAAATTAACAAACAGGATTACCTATCTATAATATATAAGTATACAAATATATACATTAACCTTTGCTTCTTTTATCTTAATGATGGTGTATATTTGTTACCTTTGATTTCCTACTATATTTGACATTACCTTTTTTTCCATTGATTAATCCAATCATACCATCTGTCCCATATTTTGAAATACTGTGAGTCTTCCTTATCATTTAATTTTAAAGTTAGTCTATCCATTTCTGCGCATATAAACATCTTTTGAATTATTTGCTGATCTGTTGGCAACTGTTCTGATTTCCAAGATTGAGCTAAAGTTAATCTAGCCGCCGTGATTATATGTAACGTAATGTACTTTATTTCCTTCCTACTACTTTTTTTGAGTATACCTAACAGGAAAATTTCAGGTTTTAATTCAATATCTTCTTCCGTTATTTCTATTATCCAGGTTCTAATTTTTATCCAAAATTTCTTAATTTTTGGGCAAAGCCACCAGAGATGATAAAAGGTTCCCTGTATTTGTTTACATTTCCAACATATCGGGTTGAAATTTACATTTGCCAATCTTGCCGAGGCTAGATACCATCTATACCACATTTTATAATGGTTCTCTTTATATGTTGTTGCTTTTGTTATTCTATAATTATTTTCCCATATCATTTCCCATTCTTCCAATTGTATGTTTCTTCCAATATTCCTAGCCCAAGCTATCATTTGACCTTTAACTATGTTTTCTGCCAAATCGAATTCTAGTAGGTATTTGTAAAACTTTGAAATTATTTTTCCCTCTTTGGTTTCTAATAATTTATCTAACTGGTTAGGTTTTATTTCAACTCCTCCTTCATCATTGTCTTTTTTGTATCTGGTTTGTATTAATAGGTAAGGCCACCAGTCCATTTCTATACCCTGGTCTCTGAGCTCCTGCCGTGTTTTTAGTTTTCCATGTACATCCAAAACATCTTTATATCGTATTATTTTTTGGGTGGCTGATATATTAAGATGTATTGCTGCCTCTAATGTAGATATCCACTGGGACTTTCATATAATGTTTATTTTTAATTTCCAACCAGGTGCCAATTAGTGAGTTTCTAATTATATGATTTTTGAAATGTTTGTATGTTTTATTTCCAATATTCCACAAATAAGCATGCCACCCTTTAAATAAATCGTGGCCTTCCAATTTCAATATTCTTTGATTATCCAAATTGACCCATTCCTTAATCCAAATCAAACTCACTGCTTTATAGTATTTTTCCCAGGCTGGTAGGCCAAAGCCTCCACTAGTTCTATCATCCTGTAATATTTTTAAATTTATCCTCGGGTTTTTCCCATCCCATATAAATTTTGAAGTTATTTTGTTCAGATTTGTGAAAAAGTTTTTCTCTAATTTGACCGGAATAGTTTGGAATAAGTAGAGGAGCCTTGGGAGTATGTTCATCTTTATTGCCGCAATTCTTCCTAACAGTGATAATTTAAGTTTCCCCCATCTCTCTAGGTCTTTTTTGACTTGTTGTACTAGCTCTCCATAATTATTATCTTTAATAGTTACATTTCTAGTTGTCAAGTTTATACCTAAATATTTTATCTTCTTAACTGCTTGCAATCCTGATTGTTGTTCCAAATCTTCTATTTGTTTTATTGTTAGATTTTTAGTTAATATTTTGGTCTTGTCTTTATTAATTTTTAACCCTGCCACCCTGCCAAATTTCTCTATCTCCTCCATTAATTTTAATTGTGTTTCTAGTGGGTCCTCTATGAAGAATACAAGGTCATCAGCAAAAGCTTGGACCTTGTATTCTTCCCCTTTTACTTTAAGTCCTTTTATATTTTTATTTTGTCTAATTCTTCTAAGCAAATTCTCCAGGGTTAAAATGAAGAGCAAAGGTGAGAGTGGGCACCCTTGTCGTACTCCTCTACTTATTTCAAAAAAATCTGTTAATTCCCCATTCACTAATATTCTTGCCTTCTGTTTTGTGTATATTGTAGCTATTATATTTTCAAATTTCTCCCCAAATTTCATATTTTTCATCTGTTGTGTCATGAATCTCCAATTGACCCGATCAAATGTTTTTTGTGCATCCAGAAAAATCAGCTCAACCTGTTTTTCTGGATGCACCTCATAGTATTCTATTATATTGATCACCATCCTTAGGTTATTTTTAATTTGTCTTGTTGGCAAGAATCCGTTCTGGTCCGAGTGTATTCTACTGTTTAATATTATTTTTAATCTATTTGCCATTAGGTTCATAAAAATCTTATAATCGGTATTTAATAAAGAGATCAGCCTATAATTTCTGATTTGTGTGGTATCTGCCCTTTCTTTTGGAATTAACGAAATGTGTGCTTCCTTCCAAGATTCTGGTATCTTTGCCTCTTTTAATGCCTCATTGTAGACCTCCAATAATATCCAATTTAGTGATTCTCCAAGTCCTTTATATAACTCTATTGGTAACCCATCTGTTCCCGGGGTTTTATTATTTTTTTGTTTCCTGATTGTTTCCTGTAGTTCCTGCATAGTAATCTCCCTATTTAACATCTTTTTTTCTGCTTCCATTATCACAGGCATTTCCTCCTCTTTTAAATATTGGTCTATTTCTTCTACTTCCACCTTATCCTGTGTATATAAGTCTTGAAAGAATTGGATTGCTATCTCTTTCTTCTTTTCCGGGCTCTGTTGTAGTTTGCCTTCATTATCCTGTAATTGATGGATCGTTTGTTTTTCTCTCTCTTTTCTTAATTTATAAGCCATCCACCTCCCTGGTTTATTTGCCTGCTCGAATTGATTTTGTCTTATGAATTTCAATGCATTGGCATATTTTTCTTGCTCAAATATATTCAATTTGTGTTTGGCTGTCATCCAGCTCACTCTTACTTATTCATCTCCTGGCCTTTCCTGTAATTTCTCTTCCCAATTTTTAATCTCTTCATAAATTATATTATATTCCTTTTCCCTCTCCTTTTTCCTTTTACTATTGTAGGCTAATGTTAGGCCTCTAATGTAAGCTTTAGTTGTGTCCCACAAATTTTGTAGGGATGTCTGGTTTTTATTATTATCCTTGAAGAACCATATATATTCTCCAAATATCTACTAAATTTAGTTCTTCTATAAGAGATAAAAATGTTTTCGGCAGCAAATTTTTCTTATTTTTTTTAATCTGATTACTTCTATAGTCTTTTTTTGGGTCCACAATAGCATTAAGATCGCCTAACAGACATACATTTTCTATATTTTGTTCTATTATTTTTTCGTGCAGTTTTTGGTAAAATTCTTTTTGGTGCATATACTACAACTAACAACACATTTTTGCCTTTAAGATTAACTTCAATCATCAAAGTTCTTCCTATTCTATCTACATATTTCAATTTACATTCTATCTCTTCTTTAACATAAACTGCTATGCCTTTTTTCTTTTCATCTGTTAATGATACATATAATTTCCCTAGTTTTTTACATTGCAGGTATCTTTCTTCCTGTTTTCTTATATGGGTTTCTTGAAGGCATACAATATCTGCCTTTTGTTTAATTAATTTCCTAAATGTTTTTAGGAAACTAAATTGTAGTTTTAACTGGGAAATTGTAAGCATCCTAGATCGAACCAAATTCCTGGAAGGCTGACATCTTAGGGCAGTGATGGCGAACCTTTTTGGCACCAAGTGCCCAAACCAGAAAGTGTGTGCATCCGTGCTGGGCAGCTGGTCTTTGCGGTGCGATGGAGCACCGGAAACCCAAACTGCATGCCTGTTTTTTGGCTGCTTTTGGCCATTTTTGGGCTGTTTTCAGGCCATTTTTCAGGCCATTTTTCAGGCCATTTTTGGCCCGAAAGATGGCCTGGAAAACAGCCCAAAAATGGCCCAAAACAGCCTGGAAAACAGCCCAAAAAATAACCTGGCTTTTGGCTGTTTTTCAGGCTGTTTTCCAGCACTCCGGAGCCCGTGAAGACCAGCTGAGCGTGCCCACAGAGAGGGCTCTGCATGCCACCTCTGGCATGCATGCCATAGGTTCGCCATCATGGTTTTAGGGAATTCCTAGAAGGTTGGCATTCAGACAAATCAACCATCAATAGACACATAGAGATAAACCACATGTATACAACATTCAAAAGAGACACTAAAAATGTTAAGAAGGAATAAAAAAGACCAGAACACATCCCCTCCAGCAGCCAACAGCCAGATAAGTAAGGATTAACACCAACCAAGCAGTAATTAATACCCATCAAAAAAATTGCATCCCTACCAACACGGGCAGGGCAAGCTACTGCATATAAACTGGGAGTAAACCCCACTCACCAGCACTGACTATGTCACTTAGATAATGAAACATCTGCAAACAAACAACCAAGGACTCCACAACAATAGAACAAATATGCTAATATGAGAACCAGACCCTGCAACAAACCCAACTTGCCCCCAGTTTTACATCAACAGCCCAACTAAAGACACCAACAACCACACAAACAAGATTAGCTGCTTCTTTACTTATTCTTTCTCTAAAGTGAGGCATGACATCATCTGCCAGCAATGTCTCTATGGATTCTATAAAGGACAAACAATGCAATTTGTACAAATATATATATATATAAAGGACACAAACTTAACATCAACATTCAAGGACAAAGCAAGAGCATTTCAATCTCTGAGGACATCCATTGCAGATCTCAGATGGACTATTTTGGAAAAATGAGATATATAACTAATGCTGTTAATTATTCAGTAAGAGATTGCTGAACTCAAATGCATCAAAGAATTTTATAGATCTCAAAGGGTCTCAACAAACACAATGGATTTTTAACACATTAACATTGTTAATTAATAAGGCCCTTGTAATCAGTCTCATGTGTAACCTGCATCTGCGTAACCAGATTGTGAATGGTCTTTTTTTCTTTTCTTTCCCTCCCCATCTCATCCCAATTTAAATTCTATATCGATTTTGGCACTCCATGCATCTTGTGAAGTGAGCTGTAGCTCATTCTTTTAATAAAAATCGATTGATCAGAAAAGATGTTACCAAATTCTTTCTGCAATAGATCAGTAACTTCTTAAGGTAAAATGAAAGCAACACATTATTCAAATCAGGCTGACATCTCAAATTAGTTACATTATCTTGTATTTTATTTTGTAACTTTTTCTTTTTTTAATAGTTTTTTTAATGACTGTGCCATTTGAGATGATGTTTTCAATGAACTGTATGAGCTGAAGGGTTATCAGAAGTCTTTGTTATATGGTATTTTTCCATCTGGAATGGGGAAATTCAGCATTCCCTATTTTCAACCTTGAATTTTACTGCAATCGATTTAAAATCAAGTGGTTTAATCTGAGAGATTTGCCTGAAGAATCACATAATCTTTTTTGAAGTTTCAGTATGTTGGATTAGTTTGTAATTATCAGTTTTATAGACTATGTTTCATTCCCCACCAACTTTTCTAGATCATGAATGAGTAAGACCTTAGACATCTTGTTTAGAAACATAAAATCATAGGAGTGTGAAGTTGGGAGACATCAAAAGCTTCATCTAGATCAACTCTGTACAATGTGCAGGTAAGATGACATATTGCCAGTTGCCTTCATTCTCATTCCTAGGAGAAGTGTCATTTGTGGTGAGTAATAGTATGCAAACTATTCTTCAATGTCCTAACAAATCTTAGCAAATGTGGTATAGACCTGATAATAAAGTCTCTAATTCTGTGTCTTCTTTCAAGATTTCCACAAGCAAACACACCATCCAGTTTTCTAGTAAAAAGAAAAATCCAGTTCATCTGTGGCAAACCATCTGTGCGGATCTGGATGGGGAGGAACAGGCTCAGGCTCAACCCTTCCAAGACTGAGTGGCTGTGGCTCCCGGCATCCCGATATAGTCAGTTGACTCCATCACTGACTATTGGGGGCGAGTCGTTGGCCCCCACAGAGAGGGCTCGCAATCTGGGAGTCCTCCTGGATAGGCAGCTGTCCTTGGAGGAACATCTGATGGCTGTAACCAGGGGGACCTTTTGTCAGGTTCGCCTGATCCGCCAGTTGCGGCCCTTTCTTGATCGGGATTCCCTGTGCACAGTCACTCATGCCCTCGTCACCTCTCGCCTTGACTACTGCAATGCTCTCTACATGGGGCTCCCCTTGAGGAGCACCCGGAGGCTCCAACTGGTCCAGAATGCAGCAGCGCGGGTAGTGACGGGAGCAGCCTGGCGCTCCCATGTAACACCGCTCCTGCGCGAGCTGCACTGGCTCCCAGTGGTCTTCCGGGTGCGCTTCAAGGTGTTGGTTATCACCTTTAAAGCGCTCCATGGCATAGGGCCTAGCTATCTTCGAGACCGCTTGCTGCCACCGACGATCTCCCATCGACCCGTGCGCTCCCACAGAGAGGGCCTCCTCGGGGTGCCATCAGCCAAACAGTGCAGGCTGGTGACCCCCAGGGGGAGGGCCTTCTCTGTGGGGGCACCTACCCTCTGGAATCAATTGCCTCCAGAGATAAGGAGAATCCAAGACCTCGGTGCCTTCCGCCGTGCCCTTAAAACCTTCCTTTTCCAGCAAGCCGGGCTGGCCTAATTTTTTTTAAGTGTTTTTAACTGTTTTGTTTATTGTTTTTAATTAATGGGGCCAAATTTATATATGTATATTTTAACTGTATTTTAATATTTGTATTTGATGTTTTTTCTTGGCTGTTCACCGCCGTGAGTCCTCAGGGAGAAGGACGGTATACAAATTCAAAATAGAACAAATAGATAGATAGAAACATCTGCCAGAACTCCATCACAAAGCCTCATCTGCAATCTGGAGAAGAAAGCAAAAAGAGATAGAGATAGAGATAGATAGATAGATGATAGATAGATAGATAGATAGATAGATAGATAGATAGATAGATAAATAGATAGATAGATAGATAGATAGATAGATAGATGATAGATAGATGATAGAGATAGATAGATAGATACAGATAGATAGATAGATAGATAGATAGATAGATAGATAGATAGATGATAGATATATGATAGAGATAGATAGATACAGATAGGTAGATGATAGAGATGATAGATAATAGACAGAGAAAGTTAGAGATAGATGATAGAGATGATAGATGATAGATAGATAGATAGATAGATAGATAGATAGATAGATAGATAGATAGATAGATAGATAGATGATAGATAGATGGATGGATGGATGGATGGATGTCCATATACTGGAAGATAGATATAGATAGATGAGAGAGAGACTGAGGGAGGGAGGGAGGGAGAGAGAGAGGGGGGAGAGATGATAGATTTCTTAAGTTTTGCATGTTATCAAGCATGCAGGTTTTTGGCTTGAAGTGGCCAGATGACTTCTGCTGCAACTGATGACTTCTTCCCTGTTCCCAGAAAATACCGAAAATATATAAATTGCTTTCCAGTATGTCAAATTCTGAGCCATCAGCCTGAGTATATCACATACTGTAATAACCAATTCATTGTTACTTTTTTCCTCATTACTTTACATTCTGTTTATTCCTTTGTTTCCTGTCTTTTAAACTGAACCACGCTTAATCTAGTTTCTAACATCTTTTGACAAGGAAGTACAGATATAGATATTATGACAGTTGTAGTTTGTATTACAGAATAAAGGATTTTAAAATATGCTTAGAGGACTTTTAGTTTTTAAATATTTTATTACTTCTTAAATGATTCATTTGAGTTTGGCACTTTTGATTCCATTTTACTGACTCATTTTCTTCTGCAAGGGACAGAAAAATATTTGCTACCACAATGGTAGAAAGACCTCGAGAAGAAAGCTGAAAGTCAGAAACAGCAAACTTCTAAATGCAGGACTTATATGTAATATTTTCCATAATATTAATACTTCCACCAATTTCAAGATTCACATATTTAAGACTGTGAAAACCAAACAGTGATATGTTAGCTAGCATAAGAGGAAGTCTTCCATAACTCACATTTTGCATTAAAAAAGAAAAAGTCCCAAGATTTCTGTAAAAAAAATGTCCAAACCATCTTAATGCATATATTAGTGTTGAGAATGCCAGACTGCTGACCAAAAAAGAAGGATCCCCTTCATGATCCTGAAGAAACATTGCCATGTTTCCATTGTCATCAAAGAAATGCAGAGATTATTATATTGATGTCCTTAGCTATCAGGCTGTAGCAGGGGTGAAATGCTCCCGGTTCGAACCGGATCACCCGATCCAGTAGCAATGGCGGCGGATGGTTCGGAGAACCGGTAGCAAAAATCCCTGGCTCCCCCATGCCCAGCTGAGCCACGCAATCATCAGAGGCTTTTAAAAAATATTTTTAAAAGCATTTTATCTACAATCTCTTCGGCCGAAAAAATGCTTTTAAAAGTAAAAAAAAAAGCCTCTGATGATCGCGCGGCTCAGCTGGGATCGTCAGAGGCTTTTAAAATCATTTTTTCTACAACCTCTTCGGCTGAAGAGGTTGTAGAAAAAAATGCTTTTAAAAGCCTCTGATGATCCCAGCTGAGTTGCCTGATCGTCAGAAGCTTTTAAAAGCATTTTTTAACAACCTCTTCAGCCGAAGAGGTTGTAGAAAAAATGCTTTTAAAAGTTAAAAAAAAAAAAGTTGCCATGCCCACTCAGTCACATTACCTCCCACCAAGCCACGCCCACAGAACTGGTAGTAACAAATTTTACATTTCACCACTGGGCTGTAGTGTGTATAGGGCTATCGGTAGAGTGGTTTGTTCACCTGATATGAGCAACCTGTCCCAAAAATGATGTTCTCAAATTGTATTGGGTTAGATAACTTGATGACCTTCGGATAATTTGGTTTGGATAACAACTCCCATAGTCATAATCAGAATGTCTGTATGCAATGGAAATCAGGTAGGTTATAAGACTTTTTGATGTTCCGTTTTTTAAAAAATATGTATTAAAGATTGTAATTGCAATCCATACTTTCATGTGTTTGTGTGTGTGTGGCTCTTCATGGCTCCATGGATCAAAGCATGTCAAAACCCCCTCCCCTTCTCTACTGTCTCCCAGAGTTGCCCAAATTCATATTCATTGCATCAATGACACTAACCATCTCATCCTCTGGCGTTCCCTTTTCCTTTTGTCTTTAATCTTTCCCAAAATCAGGGTCTTTTCCAGTCAGTCCACTCTTCTCATTAGGTGGCCAGAGTATTTGATAATATATACTGGCCATGCTCTTGGTTTATGTCAGCCCTTCCTTTTCTACCAGACAGGAAACATAATTAGATGAACTAATTGTACTTTATTGTAAGGCTACATTAATAAAAACTTGCAAGTCTGAAAGTACAAACTTCCATCCATAGAAGCTATTGACATTGTTGAAATTAACTAATGAGCTGTGGTGGCGCAGTGGTTAGAATGCAGTACTGCAAGCTACTACTGCTGACTACTGGCTGCCTGCAATTTGGCAGTTCGATTCTCACAAGCTCAAGGTTGACTCAGCCTTCCATCCTTCCGAGGTGGGTAAAATGAAGACCCAGATTGTTGGGGGTAATATGCTAACTCTGTAAACTGCTTAGAGAGGGCTGTAAAAGCACTATGAAGCGGTATATAAGTGCTATTGCTATTGCTATTTTGATTCCATGTTTCAAAAGAATCCTTCAGTATTCTTATCAGTATTCAGTATTCTTAGAAGTAAAGTGTGTTGGGTGCTCCAGTAAACATAGGTCTAAACCAAGGGTGGGAACTATTCTGATGCACATTTTTTGTGTCAGAGGGAGGCAATGTGTTGACATGTTATGATTTGTGAGTGGGTGTGCTAAAATGTTCAGGGTTTGGGGGGGGTATAGGTATACGGTCTTTATATATTTGTAAATATATTGGGATTAATAAATGGTTTATACAGCTTTACAAAAAATATTTCCATTCAAAATGAGCAAGAGAAGTCACACATTTATTATCCATACAGGTTTGGATTAGTCAATAGCCAGGTGGGTAAGATTCAAGGGAGCTAATGTAAAAAACAGAGTGCTATTGTCTAAGGCTGATCCCTAGATCCTAAATCCTGTGGTAGCCATGCCAGTTTGGCAGTAATCATGCATCCAGGGCTTATATTGTCTCACCCCTTTGCTAGATTGCTAGAACTATTTTAATGAAAAGACATGATATGTAGTTTTAGTCAAAATAACATGATTGTGACTCAAATGTTCTTCAAGAAAGGATGGAAGCTGGGGTCCTTTCCCTCCTCTCGTTTAACACTTCCTATATCCCATAAACTGCCAGGTGCAAACAAGCAGGACATGAAAAGCTCCAGTTAAACTGATTTATTGCTCATGCCCAGTGGTGGGATTCAGCCAGTTTGCACCACTTCGGGAGAACCGGTTGTTAACTTTCTGAGCAGTTTGGCAAACAGGTTGTTGGAAGAAATCATTAGGGCAGAGAACCAGTTGTTAAATTACTTGAATCCCACCACTGCTCATGCCTATACATAAGAATCTAGTCAACTAAAGTGAACACTATATTGGTGCTAGATAAGAGTTAACAGGAA